CATTTTTGTTACCCAGCTGTAGAACTCTGCACTTACCCTTGTTAAATTGCATCTCGTTCACATCTGCCCACTTTTCCAGCGTGTTCAGATTCTGCTGAATTCTATCTCTGTTATCTGGTGTCATATGCAAATTTAATGAGTATCCCCTCCACGCCCTCATCGGGATCATTTATAAAAATATGGAAAAGTACTGGGCCCAGAACCGAGCTCTGTGGCACGCCACTGGACACCCCCCTCCCTTCAAATGGAATGCCATTGACCACTGTTTTCTGAATGCAGTTCTCCAACCAGTTCCGTAGCCATTCAACTATCCTAGAGTCCAGTCCACAGTCCTCTCGTTTACCCATCAGAACATCATGGGGAGCTTTACTGAAATCCCAGTAAACAACATCAACAGCATTCCCTCGCTCCAGTAAGCTCATCACTTGATCAAAGAAGGAAATGGGGTTGGTCTGGCAGGACCTATTGGGGACAAATCTGTGCTGACTTCCCTGGATCACCAAGTTGTCCTTTAGATACTGGCAGGTCAATGCCTTTAAAATCTGCTCCAGTTGTCGTCCCTGGGACAGAGGTCAGACGGACTGACCTGTAGTCTCCTGAGTCATCTCTCCTCCCTTTTTTGAAAATTGGAGAGTAACATCCACCCTCCTCCAGTCTTGTGGCACGTCTCCCATCCTCCAAGAGGTCTGGAAGATGATGGACAAAGGTTCTGCAAGCTCTCTAGAAAGTTCTCTGAACACTCTTGTATTTCCCATATAAGAATGAAATCTCTCTCTAGCTCTCTCTCTCTCACCCTCCTTCTATTTAGCGAAAGAAGCCAGAAGTATAAGAGAGACTTTGGTCCTGACAGACAACGGCCTCGCATCCAAAGAAAGGCTGGAGAGTTTCTCAAGAGGATCCCAAGAGCATATTTCCTTCCCATCTGAGCAGGCTGAGAGTGAGTATCCTTCATGCTTATGTCAAGGGAACAGGCAAGGAATAGCCCATGGGGGATTTCAGATTCACTTCTGAGCAATATTTTGGATTGGTACAATAATACACCGTGCTTGGTAAGGAAGGAGGGAGGCCTTCTGGGAGCTGGAAAATTTTGGCTCAGAAACTGCTTCTGGGCAAGAGCTCAGCTGTGACTCTTAAGGGGATAAGATATTCTTAAATACTAGATAGTGTGGGTAAACTGGAGGGTTGCTTAAAATCA